TACTTACTTACTTACTTACTTACTTACTACTTACTTATTCACTCACTCACTCACTCACTCACTCACTCACCCACCCACCCACTCACTCACTCACTCACTCACTCACTCACTCACTCACTCACTCACACTTACTCTCGCACACTCACAGTCACCCACCCTCACTCACTCACACTCACACATTCACTCTCACACACTCACTTCCACACACTCACTCCCACACACGCGCACTCTCACACACCCATTCACTCACTCACACACACACACACACATTCACTCTCACACACACATTCACTCTCACACACTCACTCTCACACACGCGCACTCACACACACACACACACATTCACTCTCACACACACTCACACACACTCACTCTCAGACACTCACTCTCACACACGCGCACTCTCACACACGCGCACTCTCACACACACATTCACTCTCACGCACACTCACTCTCACACACTCACCCGCACACAGACACACACACACACACACATTCACAGTCACACTCTCACACTCACACTCACACTCACACTCACACTCACACTCACACTCACACTCACACTCACACTCACACTCACACTCACTCTCACTCCCACGCCCACACCCAGTCCCAGTCCCCCAGTCCCCCACTCCCCCACTCCCTCACTCACTCACCCCCTCACTTACTCAATCACTCACGCCCTCACTTACGCACTCACTCACTCAAAGGAGTTGAACGTAAGGAGGCGTGGTGTCGAGTCCGATTTCTGGTTGTCGTTAGGCAAGACCCTGCGGCCACGTTGCAAAGTTCCGTTGTTTGGCCTGCTAGCCTCTCACGGTTACGAACGATTTAAGAGCAGCGGGGTATGGAAAGCAGAGTTTTTTTGGAACGCGGTGTAATCGGAGCTGATCGGGGTACCGAACTTCGGTGTAATATCCGAGTCAAGAGTCTGATTGAGCATCGCGGAACTGGCCTTAGCGAGTGTCGATATGCACCAGATAATCAAGCTATATTTCTGGGCCTTCTCAAACTCAGCTTCTAAATAAATCTAGAATCTACAGCTACTTGTAGCGACCCGAAATTTGAGTGTCAATTCAATTCCTGCTTAAGACTTCGGGGTCGAGATTTTGGGTTCGGGTTTCGAGGCATGAAGTAAATTCGCCTTTGCTCGCATTTTCTATCGGTCGCGACCCTTCATCCTTGACTGCGACATGCTGCTCGAAATGTGCAAGCTGAAACTGTAGCTTAAGACAGCTCTTTGCCTCCTTGAGTTGAGCTTGCAGAACAGATGCTTTGGCATTTTGAGGTGTCTTTCCATGTATCTTTCCATGCACTCGCGATTGCATGGAGTGGCCAGACCTCGCTGCAGGTGTCTCTTCGGCGGATGAGCTGGTCTGCATGCTCTGATTGCCAAAGCTTTTAGGAAGCCTGCTGGTGTTGCTCAGGTCCTACCGTGGTGCCAGCCTATATGCCTGTGGCCCTCCCAGTCTGATGGCCAATGCGGAGGCAGCAAGGATGCACAATTGAAGCTCTGTGGACAACGGTCACACGAAAGGCCCTGCAGAATCTGGGTGTCACAATAGCAGGCCGCCAGGCCCGCTTTCTGCTTTGTGAGTCTTTCGCGAGCGTGCTTCTGCATTTCTGACGTGAGAAGCGTTGGCAAGGCCGCCCATCCGAAGGGAAGCTTGCTGCCATCTTCAGGCCAGCCGTTCGTCATTAGGTGTGACCGACCGGAAGTTTTGTGCAGGATTGCAAAGTCGCTTCACTGGATTTGTCGACGCCGTGCTGTGGCCTCTCGCATCCTTCTTCCAGGAGTGCGGCAGCGTGGTCGCTTTCGAATCTGCTCGCCTTGAGGGAGTTGTAAGGGATGAGATGTGCAGGTTCCAATCGGAAGCCTTGCGGCTGCTGTCGGGCCTGGCATTGGCTGTGCCCTTGGAAGTTTCGGGCCTCCATGAGGCTCATCAGGAATCACTGGAGCGACGCTCTATCACGTGGCCAAGGTCGGGGAAGAAACATGCACGATGCCCAGCCCCGTGGTGGGACGGCTTTCTGCTTCTGACATGCTTGGTTTTCAGGCATGGCCTGATCTGCTTCAGCCTTCCCGAGGGCGTTGCTGTCTCGCGGCCTCGCGCTTGCAATCGGGAAAGCTCTTCGAAAAAACACATGTAGAGCTGATGTGCACCTATGCCCTAAGGCCGGCCGACCTCTGCCGGTGGTACTGCGAGATGTGCCTAATCATGGTTTCCCATCTGCGGAACAAAACGACTCCTGGAGAAACAAAGGTGCCGTCTGTTGGCCGGCGACAATGCAGGTGACTTCAGCACGGCAGAGGCAGCCAGCTCCGTTGCATTTCGTTGCATTGCCGATGATGGGACTTTTGGTTGGTGCGCTATCCTGGTAGTTTTTGCGACCGTATTCTGTAAGGTATTCTAAGGTCATTGTCCTAGATTCCTGATTTCCTTCATTGAAGTCCGTTTCTCAATAAGCCACAATAGGGTATTATATAGAGTATGTATATGGTTTACGGGGGTATCAGATATAGGGGGTATTCTACAATGTATTCTATAAAGTAGGTGTTATATATATAACGTGTTCTGTCAGGGTTCCTGTGAGGTATTCTATCGCGTATTCTACGGGATATTGCATCGGGTATTCCAGAAGGGTTTGACGTATGATCTGGGTGTCGAATTATGTCGATGTTTGTCAGATGTACAGATGTGCATACCCATGTATATACATGTATACATAAACACCTGTCTGTAAGGGTAAGTATGTATGTGTGTATGTGCTCACAGTTTGTTAAGCCCAATATATTGAACAAAAGCCAGGTGTCCTCTGCTCTCACCGCCGAGCACATGCCCAAATTCCTTCAGTTCCAGGCTACCTGTCAAATTATTATTGTTTTGCCTTGCGATTAATTCGGGACATACCTTGGCCTTCGACTGACTTCGGGAAGCCGATGTTGAAGGATATGAGCACAAGACAGCCTCAGCCCTTGAACCTGAGCAGCATCACACCTTCGGAACAGTTCTTTCAAGCAGGGCTAGAGAGCGACTGCCAGTAGCATTCATGGGCAGAGGTAGTTGGAAAAAGCAGAACAGACTTGCAGCAAAGCGACATTAGGCACATGCATTTGGACCATCCATCTGAAGAACGCTGGTAGTTTTCGATCATGCTTGAAGCGGAAGGCCTCACGATTTCTGTGTTCGCCGCTCCAGAAGACAGTGCAGGCATCGATGAGAAGACGCAGGTGACGAGCGCGACTCACGGCTGCCGCAGTGCTTGGCGCCCTGAAGCAAAGTCCTCTGAGGATCTCCACGGGTGCGAGCTGTGCGAGCTTCAAGTCTCTGATCTGGAGACGAGCTCCAGCTCCAGCGGCAGGCTTGAGATGTAATGAGACTGTGATCGTTTCATGGCAAAACCCTTGCATTGCATGGCCAGAACATGATGGTGCTTGAAACATGATACGACTGCAGCATTGAGCTGGAAGCAAGCAAAGTGATCTTGCATGCCAAACTGTGCTACACGTGGCAGAGCCAGCACATCGCAGATGCTGCCGTGGTATTGGGGATTGAGAAGGCGATGCTCTACCATGCTAAGCTGACAGTGCTGATGTCCCAGCTCGGCATATCTTAGAACCCCACGGACGCACTCTTGTATGGTAAGAGTTGCTAAGTAAACTTCCGCAAGCCGCAATGGGATGATAGCATGAGATGCAGGGCTTGGTACTGTTCGCGCTTGTGGCCGGCGTTGTGCTGGCAAGAGGCCGAGCTCCAAGAGCAGTTCTGGAGGCATCCTTCAAGGAGCGAATCCAGGAGGTGCTAAATGGCTCGGCGACGTCGGCCGCGGAACACTTGGCCACGCGCTTGGACTCGAAGCCGGGCCACCTGTTCGCTGGCTACGAGGTCGAGTTTCGAGACCGGCATCTCGAGTGGCTTCATGGCTGCCTAGACGTCGTGACTTCGCGAGATTCCGTTGAGAACTGCATCTTACGTCAGCTGCAGGCACTAACTGCTCTTTGTGACTTGCAGGGCTTAAGGTATAATGAGCAGGTCAGGAAGACTGCAGAAAAACATCTGGAGGTGCTCCTCAAGGAGCAGATGCTGGCTCTGCTTGGCATGAGCGTGCAGAAGGTCTCTGGGGCGTCAATCCTCCTGGTCCAAAAGCAGCCAGCGAACTCGGCCGATGTCGATGCTAGCCCGGCAGTGCAGGCAAGCGCACTAATGGCGCTTGTACGTTGCGGCGAGGCAGTCAGCAACAAGGAACACCTGAATGATGCAGAGGCATGGTTCCAAGGTCTCAACATGATCTACGCTGAGAGCGTTTGGAACAAGTCGTTCACGACTTTTCATCGTGCAGCTATCACGTGGGAATCGCTCGCTGTTACAGCTTTGCACATTCCGAAGCATTCCAGTTTCCGAGATCAGCTGGAAGAGTACATCCGTGATTTCGAGGTTTTCCTGCGACAAGCTTGGGAAGCACATGGGGACTTTTGGTCTTTCTCCTCTGCTCGTGCACTGGCAGTAAGATGGTCTTCCAAGGGTCTCCGAAAGCAACAACGAAAGCTGTTGAAGCGCTGGGCACAGGAGCACGTCGATCGCTTTCTGGGGAGATCAAGTGGGATCAAAGCGGGGCCTGAGGGAGTCTCGGAGGGCATCCTGGCACGGATCGGCGGCAACCGCTACACCTGCGGCCCGCTACAGGGTCTGGCCTCGCTCGCCGGGATACTGAAGGATGCCGAGTTGATTCAGGTTGTGTTGCAGCTCATGGAGAAGGATATCCTTCGTTACCAACTCTCAGACTCGAACCCCGGCCCCTTTCGCTCTGCGCCACCGGAGCTGTTTGGAGCTTTTTTCCGGGACGGCGAGCAAATGAATCTGGAGTCGAGGCAGAGCCTGCGCGTAGATGACACGGCGATGTGTCTCATCGCTATCTCGCACCTCATCGAGACCTTGCAGAGCATCAGAGGAGTGAACGTCGATCCAACAGCTGAGCAAGGGGAGCTGTGAGCGAAAAACCTTGAGAATCCCAACCGAACTTTCAATCCGAGCACTGAACTTTCGCTTGCCTCGCCGCCTTTGCCTTGCCTCTGCCCCGTCTGTTTGAGGTACTCCAGCGCGCGGCGTGCTTCCTGGAGAGTGCGCTGCGCCCTCGGCGCATGTCCGTACCGGCCGTATCGGTCCTCGGCCATCTCGGTTCCTGGCCGTGCCTTTGCCGAAGTCCGGTGCTCGCCGACGGAGGATTTGAGCTCAAGCTCGTCGTGGAAGTTGGAAGAAGCATCATTCAAGAAAAGCACGTAAAGAATCTAAAGGCTCCGCATCGAAAGCACTTAGAGGGTCATGTTGTGCAAGTGGCAAGGTGGAAGGTTCCCAACCCTACGACCGCCGAGAGGCATAGAGGTAGGCAGTAAGGCCATGGCTAGTTTCAATGATGCGGCATCGCCACTCGCCATCAACAGATGTCACCTCGCCGTCGTTGGAAGCACACGCAATTTGCAGCGCCCCGCATCACAAGGACAGCAACCGCGCCAGCTTTCCAAGCTGTAGTGTTTGATTTGGACGGGACGTTGGTGGACACGGAGATGGTGGCTTGCCCGAGCTTTGGAATTCTTTACCTTCAGGATGTACAGATCATTAGCTGTGCCTCATGCTCCTTTGCAGCGAGGCGACCTGTGCATGGATCGCAGAGCTTTTCCAACCACATGGCTTAAGCTGGACTCCTGAACTTCACCGACACATCGCAGGCGGATGGTTGAGCAAGGGGAGAGCATAGTGTGAGCATCCCGCCAGAGCAGGCACCGTGGGCTTCTTCCCGCAGAAATGCCTCGATCTCCTGCAGGCAACGTCCAACTCCAACACTCTTGAACCGTTGTGACATGTTGTGACTTAGTGCAGCGTCCGAGGTACCTCCAGGAAGGCGAGACGAACTCGTGGCAGTCTTGCCTCAGAGGATAACGTCTGCAGCGTACCCTGTTTCTATCAGTTCTGCGGTTTCTGCACCACAGCCACCAGGGGCCGAGTACGTCGCATGCCTGGCCAGACCGAGGTACAACAAGTTCCTGGCAGAGCGTGACCTAGCTTTTGATTGAAGACCTTGGTTTGAGATCTGGGACCTGGGATTCGAGTTCTCTCGCGCCATGTGGACCAACCGCAGGCTGCAACATGCCTACTCGTAAGGTATGGAAATCAAGCCTGGTGCTGCTGCTATCGTGCGACGCTTGCAATCCATGCGGATCTCGCTTGGTCTCTGCACCAGTCGCCGAGGTGTCTGTGCCGCACAGAAGAATCACTGCCAGTGGCATATAGGTAGAACGCAAAAGACTCTCGTGATTTATGGATACGGTATACGCGATTCGCATCGCGACGCACTGTTCGGCCAGTTGTCAGGCGATGGAGTGGAGTTCTTGCTGCAGGAGAGATCGGACCTCCGAGCTCTGCTTGAGCCGCTTGAGGCGGCGTTGTCGGGGACTGCCTCTTTGGCCGGGTCTCTCTCTCTCTCTCTCCTTTTCTCTCGCTCTCACCCTCTCTCGCACTGAGAAGTTCGTGACTTCAAGCCGGCGAGGTGCGGCTGGTTGGGTCAGTTGACCCTCGCACCGATGCAAAGTTGCCCAGCAAGCCAGACCCTCAGGCCAGGCCAGGCACTCCGAAGAGGCCTTTTGTTTTGATGTCTTGGAGTGCAGGTCTACAAAGCGTGTGCCGAAATCTTGGGCGCGGCGCCCAGCAGCTGTCTCGTGTTCGAGGACGCTCCGGCTGGCGTGCAAGCAGCGAAAGCAGCCGGGTGCTTCACGGTGGCTGTTCCAGAAGCTTGGATGGAGGGCGACGCTCAGGCGGAAGCTGTCTTCGCTACCGCGGATCTCCGCCTCAAGTCCCTGGAAGACGTTGCAGAAAATCAAGTTCTTTGGAATCGACTCTTTGGACCACCATGTCCTCTCTTAATTGCCTGCGGGAATGCAACGGTGGATGTGATGTGCACCGTGGAATCGAAGGAGCTCGAGAAACTTGGGCTCTCACCCGGAACCGAAGCCGCCGGACTGTCGGAGGCTAGGAAGCAGGAGCTTGTCGACTTTGCAAAAAGCCAAGAAGATGCCACGGTCGTGGCTGGCGGATCGGCGATGAACACTGTGCGGGTCGCATCTTGGAGTGGTGGTGACCGCATCCGGGCTGCTTTCATTGGTGCTGTTGGCATGGACGAACACGGCAAACTCCTGGAGGAGGCTCTGCACGAGGCTGGCGTTGTCCCGTTGCTGAAGCGCGTCAGTCAGAGCCAGACAGGCATTTGTGGCTGTCTGGTCGATGCTGGCACGAGGGATCGCACCCTTTCCGTCATTCGAGGTGCTTCCGGACTTTTGGACCCTGCTTGGATTGAGCAACCTGATATCAGCTCTCTGATTCGCGAGGCGAGTGTGGTATATATCACGTCCTTCGTTCTGACCACGCAGCCGCGTATAGCAGCTGTGGAACTGCTTATAGAAAATGGCTTGAAGTCTGGAGCCTGCGTGGCTGTGAACCTCTCATCTGCTGGATTGATTTCTAAAGTTCACCCTGTGCTGCAGAGCTTGTTGCCCAGAGCTACTTTTGTTTTTGGAAACCAGTTCGAGCTCCGTGCCTGGGGCCGGCATTTGAGCTGGAGTGGCTCAGACACAGATATGGCAGCAGAACTGGCCTCCATGCTGCGACCTGGAGGCATGGCCGTGGTAACTGCTGGTGCAAGCCCAACCATAGTTGCACAGACCGATGCCGGAGTTCAAGTATTCCCGGTTCCACCGAGCCAGGGCATGCATCAATACCGTTCAGGCATATATGGCTACAGACACTTCACAAGAGCTATTTGTAAATCGTAAACACTATGCGAACCCTTCAGCTGCTCATTTTGGAATCGTAGCTAGGGTAGGGAGGAGCTCGGGTCGTGCAAGTAACAATTTCTGAGCGAGGCATCTTGCTTCTACCGCCTCGGAGGATATGCATTATAAACTGTAATGATTGCAATGCTAAGCGCAATGGGACCCTACAATTTTCAGCAGGTCGTGAAGTTTTGCAGCCACTTGTGTCCCAGGATTCCACCGGAAGACATCGTGGACACCAATGGAGCCGGTGATGCTTTCGTCGGGGGTTTCTTGGCTGCCGTCTTGAACACCAGCAAGGAAGACTCTGGTCAGCATCCTTGGTTGAAGCGATTTCTCGTTGTTGCTGGTTGCCGAGTGGTGCTGCGCCCAGGAATGTGCAAGATCGTCGTGGTCCACTTGGGTGCATAGTGGTGGCGAGGCTGCAAACTTCTAAAAGATATGAAAACATGTCAGTTGCTGCAAGATTCCTGTCTATGCTTAGGCCACCAACGTGCGGCGGACATCCTCAGACAGCAAGGTTGCACCATTCCGTGCCGAGAAAACGGCATGTCCTGTACATGTGTTCGCAGCAGCACGTTGCTGCTCCAAGTTAATCTGCAGCTCCTGAGGCCCACTTCCAGTCAGACACCTTGGTCTTCCACCCGGCAAAGCAGGCCACTCAAAGCAGGTGGGCGCAAGCTATTGAGGTCGACAACAACAGCCCGCATGTCAGCAACAATTCCACTTGTCTACAACAACCCATTTTACGGAATATTATCAGACCAAAATTGAGAAAAACCCAATTTGAGAGATTTCAAATCATCGATGCACCTAATTCTACAAAATTAGAAAGCCGTTATTCCCAAAAAGCCGCTACCTCACGAGAGATATTGAAATATTATAATTATGTAAACGATTCATAGAGAGAATCATAATATTTTCTGGAATAATAAATCATTATTTTTTTTTTATAAAGATAAATATTTATATCGATTATGATATTCAATTTGATATTTGAACTATGATTTCTTATAGAAAATTCATTATTTTAATTTCTATTAGATAGATAGATATAAGATTCTTTATTAAATAAATTCTTGAAAAATTTTCTATGCTTATAAATTTAGTTCTTCATTTTTAAAAAAATTTGAGAAATTTATTTTATATAAAAAGATAATATTAAATTTATATTATGTGATTTTATTTGATATTAGATATTTATTATTTATAATTAATAA